AAAAGAGAATGTCAAAAAAGTACTCGTGACATCTGTCAATCTGATGAGGGTATTTCAGTATAATACGTAATGTAATTACTAAGTGTGCGTATGTGAGTGCAATGAGTAAAAGGTATTCCAGATAAAGGATGCTCAATCTGCACTGAAATTTCTCAGTTGTTGTTTTGCAAGGTCTTAAGCCTTCTCTGCCAGAGAGCTGGTGCCATGATTCCAACGCATTGGGCCATGGAAGTTGAAGCTGTGTCAGACTGCATTAATGGCACAGTGCAGATGCACAGGTAGACTCACTGAATCATGGGTATTTATATAAGTGTTGACATACTAGTCAGGAATTGATTTACTGGGCCTGCTTTGGTTAAGGAGGATCGAAGCATTCACCATTATGCTGCCCATGAGTCTGACAGCAATGCAGCTTTGTCATTTCCCTTCCCTTTCACATCCCATTTCTGCCAGCAGCAGCATCAGTGCATGCGCACTGAGCTCTCCTTTGAACTAGGAGCAGGAAGGGAGATGAAGGGCTGAAACATGTCGCAGCATGCAGCTGCCTGCTATTTATATCTGATCCTTCCGCTCAAGCTTGAATGCACAAACAAGTCCCTTTGCAATACTGCTCAGAATGAGACTGGGGGTGAAATAGTCTGCAAACTCCCTCTGTCATCTTTTGAAATCTCTATTACCAATCCAACAGATAAGCAGCCAATCAGGCAGCACTGATTTATTTGTATTTGGCTTGTCAACATCAGCATTGCAAAAATTTGCTCTACTCTTTGCCTTTGTAAAACAACTTTTTGGTCAGAGCTTGGATAAGTTGCCTTCTTGGACTGCAGCTCCCAGAATCCTGCTGACATTATGTTCAGTGGAAGAAATGCTGGCTGGCTGGTACTGGAAGCTGCAGTCCAAGAAAGTAACTTTTCCAAACTCTATTTTTTAAATTTAGCCATCAATTCATACTTTAAAAAGCATCCGTTCTAGGGTCATCTAAATAATGAATATGCATACAAGTTGAATTAATGTTGAACTATAGGAACAAGAATCTATAATTACTTATTTAGGTAATCCCTCGTTGTCCAAGTATGATGGCCTTCCAAGTGTAGTGTCTTGGCGGTGGATTTGTAAGTGACTGCGGAGCCCTATTCTCGATCCGCATGATCTTCCACAGTGAGGGCATCAATTTCCAGTTGGAAGGCAGTCCCGGTCTGGGTTGGCTTGATGCACCTTCCTTTTGACACGTTTCTCCCTTTCGCTCTCCATTCATGCCTCTTCAAATTATGCAGCACTGCTGGTCACAGCTGACCTCCAGTTAGAGTGCTCAAGTGCCAGGGCTTCCCAGTTATCTCTTGGTGTCTATGCCACAGTTTTTAAGATTAGCTTTAAGCCCATCTTTAAATCTCTTTTCTTGTCCACCAATATCACATTTTCCACTCTTGAGTTGGTAGTAAATGCTTTGGGAGAGGGTGATCGGACATTTGGACAATGTGGCCAGTCCAGCGGAGTTGACAGCAGAGGAGCTAGTAGTCTTTGCTTCTTCCAGCACACTGGCATTTGTTCGCCTGTCTTTCCAAGAGATTTGCAGGATTTTTTGGAGGCAATGTTGTAGCTTTATAAACAAGGGCCTTGGTATCCCAGGAGGCCCTGGTGGAGCAATGGGTTAAACCCTTGTGCTGGCAGGACTGCTGACAAGGTCGGCTGTTAGGAATTGTGGGAGTTGCAGTCCAAAACACTTGAAGCACTTAAGTTGGCCCAGACCAGATCTACACTGTAAAATTAATGTAGTTTGATACCACTTTACCATGGGGCAAGGCTATGGAATCATGGAAGATTTTGTTTTACTAGGTCTTTAGTCTTAAAATGGTTGTAACTGTTTCTTTTAATAGTTTTTATGTTTAAATCAGTTAGAGTGTATTTTTTGTTGTTGTTTTAAATTGTGTACTGTATTGTGTTGTCCAAGGCTTTCATGGCTGGAATCACTGGTTGCTGTGAGTTTCTGGGCTGTATGGCCATGTTCCAGAAGCATTCTCGCCTGAAGTTTCACCCACATCTATGGCAGGCATCCTCGGAGGTTATGAGGTCTGTTGGAAACTAGGAAAATGGAGTGTATATATCTGTAGAATGTCCAGGGTTGGAGAAAGAACTCCTGTCTTGTCTCATCTCTGCAGAAGTCTATTATATACCATGCAGCTGTGGACAAGTCTACATAGGGATGACCAAATGCAGCAAACATGAATCAAGGAACATGAAAGGCACTGCCGACTAATTCAACCTGAGAAGTCAGCCATAGAAGAGCAGTTGATGAACCAACCTGGACACAGATATTATTTGAGAACACTGTAATGCTGGACCACTCTAACAAACACTATGCCAAACTACACAGAGAAGCCATTGAAATCCACAAGCACGCGGACACTTTCAACATAAAGGAAGAAACCTGAAAATGAACAAAATCTGGCTATCAGTATTAAAAAAAAACTCTAAAATCTGGACAGTAAATAAAAAGCAAATCAGGGGAATTCAACAGGAAACAATCCGGGCCATCTAACACCTCCCAACAAAGCATTCCCCAGGCAGCAATCAGCCAGGCTTTGAAGCTACAAGGCCATTAATGCTAATCAAGGTGGCCAAATGCTACATTCACACTTGCCTCAAGAAGACAAGTTATTTCTCACATCCTAGACATTATTCTACTGATATATAAACCTCACTTGTCCAATTTCCAATAGACCTCTCAACCTCTAAGGATGCCTGCCATAGATGTGGGTGAAATGTCAGGAGATAATGCTTCTGGAGTATGGCCATAAAGCCCAGAAAACTCACAGCAAACTCTTAGGCGATGGCCAGGGGAGCTTTTGCACAACTAAAACTTGTGCGCCAGCTGCGTATCTTGGGAGGTCTGACTTGGCCACGGTGGTCCACGCTCTTGTTACATCCTGAATAGACTACTGCAACACGCTCTATGTGGGGTTGCCTCTAAAGAGCATTCTGAACCCCACCGATGACAGAATTGAACCAAACTTGGCACACAGGTCTCCCATGACTAACAGAAAATACTGGAAGGGTTTGATGGGCAGTGTCCTTTGGTTTTGGAGTTGTAGTTCACCTACAGCCAGAGATCACTGTGGACTCAAACAATGATGGATCTGGACCAAGCTCTACACAAATACTCAATATGCCCAAATGTAAACACTGGTGGAGTTTGAGCAAAATAGGATTTATAGTTTACCTACAATCAAAGAGCATTCCGAACCCCACCAAGGACAGAATTGGGGCAACCTTCCCACACAGAACCCTCATGACCAACAGAAAATACTGTGTTTTCTGGTGGTCTTTGGTGACCCTTCTGACACCCCCTTGCAACTCCCCCAGAGGTCCCAATCCCCAGGTTGAGAAATGCTGCCTTAAGCCCATCCAGTCCAACTCCCTTCGCCAGGGCATGAAAACATAATTAAAGCCCTAATGACAAAGGGCCATCCAGCCATTCACACACACACATGTATGTATATGACAGATGCAGTATCAAAGATTTGAAAGGGATTATTGTAGGTTTTTTCGGGCTATAGGGCCATGTTCTAGAGGCATTTCTCCTGACGTTTCGCCTGCATCTATGGCAAGCATCCTCAGAGGTAGTGAGGTCTGTTGGAAATAGGAAAATGGGTTTATATATCTGTGGAATGACTGGGGTGGGGCAAAGAGCTCTCCGCTGAAGCTAGGTGTGAATGTTTCAGCTGACCACCTTCATTAGCATTTGAAGGCCTGGCTGAGCCTGGGAAAATGTTCTGTTGAGAGGTGTTAAGATGTGCCTGGTTGTTTCCTCTCTGCTGTTTTGCTGTTGTAATTTTAGAGTTTTTTTTAATACTGGTAGCCAGATTTTGTTCATTTTCATGGTTTCCTCCTTTCTGTTGAAATTGTCCACATGCTTGTGGATTTCAATGGCTTCTGTGTGTAGTCTGACATGGTGGTTGTGAGAGTGGTCCAGCATTTCTGTGTTCTCAAATAATATGCTGTGTCCAGGTTGGTTCATCAGGTGCTCTGCTATGGCTGACTTCTCTGGTTGAAGTAGTCTGGAGTGCCTTTCATGTTCCTTGATTTGTGTTTGGGCAATGCTGCGTTTGGTGGTCCCTATGTAGACTTGTCCACAGCTGCATGGTATACGGTAGACTCCTGCAGAAGTGAGAGGATCCCTCTTGTCCTTTGCTGAACGTAGCATTTGTTGGATTTTCTTGGTGGGTCTGTAGATAGTTTGTATGTTATGTTTCCTCATCAGCTTCCCTATGCGGTCAGTGGTTCCCTTGATGTATGGCAAGAACACTTTTCCTCTGGGTGGATCTTCATCTTGACTCTCGTGGTTTGTTCTCGGTCTTGCAGCTCTTCTGATGTCTGAGATGGAGTATCCATTGGCCTGTGGAGCCCAGTTGAGGTGGTTCAGTTCATCTTGGAGGAGGTGGGGTTCGCAGATTCTTTTTGCACGGTCTGCCAAGGCTTTAATGGTGCTTCTTTTTTGACTTGGGTGATGGTTGGAGTTTTTATGTAGATATCTGTGTGTGTGGGTTTTCTGTAGACGGTGTAACCCAATTGTTGATCTGGTTTGCGGATGACTAGGACATCTAGAAAAGTTAATAATAATAATAATACACAAAACACATATACACAGACTGGACCACAGTAAAGCATGGCAGGGAGTGGCTAGGAAATAAATAAATAATAAATAAGAACACCTGGAGAGCCAAAGATTGGGATAATAAGTGGTGCACAACCTGTGACATCTATTTCCCCCCTTTCCAAATGCAACCCACACAGCTGCCTTTGGATTGGAGGGCTCCCCAGACCCCTAGGCTTCTTATTCCTGCTGTGGGGATCCGTGCTCCCCTTTGAAGACCCCCAACTCTTCATAAAACAGAGGTCCCCCCATCCCTGCCCATGCGCCTTGGCTGCTGCGCCTCCTTTTACGCACAGAAGGCTTTGGAGGAGAAGGAGGAGGAGAAAGGCGAGGCGCCTCCTCCACCTCTTCCTCCTCCTCCTCCAGCCTCTTTTCCTCCCCCCACCCCAGCGGCTGGCTCTCCGCTTGGCCCTCCATCTCTTGTTTTCCTTTCTCCTCCCCCTTTCCCCTTCCCTCCTTTTTTTTCTCTTCCTTCCTTTCCCCCCTTTTGCATTGGAACCTTCTTTCCCTCCTTCCCTCCCCTTTCCCTCTCCAAGGCGCTTTTGTTTCAGCCCGGGACGCCAAAGAGAGAGAGAGAAAGGAAGAGACTGGGCCGGCTTCTCCCTCTTTCTCTCCCTCCAACTCTCCCCTGGGGCTAGCAGGACCCCTTCGCCGGCCTTTGCCCTTCTTTGCCTCCCTCTCCCCCAACTCAGAAGCCCCCCCACATGGAGACATGAGCGTTGAAGCCCAGGGAGCAGCAGCAGCAGGAACAACAATAACAACCACAGCAGCAGAAGCAGCCGCTTTGTCAGCTTCCCCGGCCGCCTGACATGGAACCAGCCGGCAACTGAACAAAGAAAGAAGGACCACCAGCCCAAGCTTCACTTGCCACTGGGAAAAAAAGGCCACCATGGGCTTCTAAGGGACCCCCCAATGCTGGGCCGTTGCGGCGGGGATTTGGAGAGCTTTGCAGGGGAGGTGAGTCAAGGCACAAGGCTATCCATCTATCTGGAGACCTATCTTCAGAGTGTCTCCAAAATGCAATGCACCCTTCTTGACCCCTTTTTGCCATTCTGGATCTGTATATATAATTTTTCAGGATTTGGGGAACTTTGCAGGGGATGTGAGTCAAGGCACAAGGCTATCCATCTATCTGGAGACCTTCAGAGTGTCTCCAAAATGCAGTGCAACCTTCTTGACCCCCTTTTGCCATTCTGGAGCTGTATATATAATTTTGCAGGACTTGGAGAGTTTTGCAGGGGAGGTGAGTCAAGGCACAGGGCTATCAATCTATTTGAAGGCCTTCAGAGTGTCTCCAAAATGCAATGCACCCTTCTTGACCCCTTTTTGCCATTCTGGATCTATATATATAATTTTGTAGGATTTGGAGAGTTTTGCAAGGGAGGTGGGTCAATGCATAGAGCTATCAATTTATCTGGAGACCTTCAGAGTGTCTCCAAAATGCAATGCACCCTTCTTGACCCCTTTTTGTCATTCTGGATCTGTATATATAATTTTGCAGGATTTGGGGAACTTTGCAGGGGAGGTGAGTCAAGCCACAGGGCTATCCATCTATCTGGAGACCTTCAGAATGTCTCCAAAATGCAATGCACCCTTCTTGACCCCTTTTTTGCCATTCTGAATCTGTATATATAATTTTGCAGGATTTGGAGAGCTTTGCCCGGGAGGTGAGTCAAGGCACAAGGCTATCCATCTATCTGGAGACCTATATTCAGAGTGTCTCCAAAATGCAATGCACCCTTCTTGACACCTTTTTGCCATTCTGGATCTGTATATATAATTTTGCAGGATTTGGGGAACTTTGCTGGGGAGGTAAGTCAAGGCACAGGGCTATCAATCTATTTGAAGGCCTTCAGAGTGTCTCCAAAAGGCAACGCACCCTTGACCCCTTTTTGCCATTCTGGATCTGTATATATAATTTTGCAGAATTTGGGGAACTTTGCAGGGGAGGTGAGTCAATGCACAAGGCTATCAATCTATTTGGAGACCTATCTTCAGAGTGTCTCCAAAATGCAATGCACCCTTCTTGACCCCTTTTTTTGCCATTCTGGAGCTGTATATATAATTTTGCAAGATTTGGAGAGTTTTGCAAGGGAGGTGAGTCAATGCACAGGGCTATCCATCTATTTGAAGGCCTTCAGAGTGTCTCCAAAATGCAATGCACCCTTCCTGACCCCCTTCTGCCATTCAGGATCTGTATATATAATTTTGCAGGATTTGGGGAACTTTGCAGGGGAGGTGAGTCAAGGCACAAGGCTATCCATCTATCTGGAGACATTCAGAGTGTCTCCAAAATGCAATGCACCCTTCTTGACCCCTTTTTGCCATTCTGGATCTGTATATATAATTTTGCAGGATTTGGAGAGTTTTGCAGGGGATGTGAGTCAATGCACAGGGCTATCAATCTATTTGAAGGCCTTCAGAGTGTCTCCAAAATGCAATGCACCCTTCTTGACCCCCTTTTGCCATTCTGGGTCTGTATATATAATTTTGCAGGATTTGGAGAGTTTTGCAGGGGAGGTAAGTCCAAGGCACAGGGCTATCAATCTACTTGAAGACCTTCAGAGTGTCTCCAAAATGCAATGCACCCTTCTTGACCCCTTTTGCCATTCTGGATCTGCATAAATATTTTTGCAATATTTCTCCCTATTTTTGCAATTTTCTCCCTTCCTTTTCCCCATTCAAGATACCCCCAAATAGTAGGAAAGTGCCTCTAAAAATTGCAATAGAAACTTTTAAGGGGAGGTTGGCAATTCTGTCCTTGCACTGGATGCTCCTTGGGAACCCATTCCATAAAATTGCAATTTAAGGTGGGACTTCTGTACTTTCCAAAGTGCCTTGGATTCAGGTTGGAAGGCCTTACATAAAACTGGAATGGAAGACACTTGTGTTTGCAAAATCAAGGAGCGCATTGGGAAGTGTTGGAGGCCCTTCCATAAAACTGGGATTTGAGATGGGATTGGGAACTTTGCTTGCAAAGGCAATGAGTGCATTGGAAGCACAATAGAAGGCCCTTTATAAACCCGGGATTTAAGGTGGAATTGGGACCTCTCTTTTCAAAGGCAAATGAGTGTATTGGATGCTCATTAGAAGGCCCTTCATAAACCTGGGATTTAAGGTGGAATTGGGAACTATGCTTGCAAAGACAATGAATTTATTGGAAGCACAATAGAAGGCCTTCCATAAAACTGGGATTTAATGTGGAATTGGGAACTCTGTTTGCAAAGGCAATGAGTTTATTGGATGCACAATAGAAGGCCCTTCATAAACCTGGGATTTAAGGTGGAATTGGGAACTCTGCAAAGACAATGGATACATTGCAAGCACATTAGAAGGCCCTCCATAAAACTGGGATTTAAGATGGAATTGGGAACTCTGCCTGCAAAGGCTTTGGGTATATTGGATGTGAAATAGAAGGCTCTCGATAAAATTGGGATTTAAGGTGGAATTGGGAACTGCCTGCAAAGGCAATGGGTGTATTGGATACGCATTAGAAGCCCCCCTCCCCATAAAACTGGGATTTAAGATGGAATTGGGAACTCAGTGCTTGCAAAGGCTTGCAGAGCATTGGATGTGCATTTGAACCCCCTCCATAAAATTATAATGTATGGTGGAATTGAACTGAAATGTCTGATTAGATCATTGTTATGGCCGTTTGTTCTCCAGGGTACTTAGTATTCAATTGGTCGCCATAACTACGCATAGTTGTGAAAGTGGGTGTGCGTTGGTTGGCGACACCATGGGTAGACAAATCCTGCATATATATATTGCTCCATTTAGGGCCTCCTTTTCCAACTGGGAATATTTCTTGCATGTTTATATTGCTTTTGTTCCATATATATATATATATATATATATATATATATATATATATACACACACACACACACACACACACACACGCATACATATGCATATGTATACATACATATATTTGTGTGTGTGTGTGTGTTCTATTTGACTGGCAGATACATCATTTAAAAGAAAAATAAAATAAAATATGGGTTGCTGTGAGTTTCCAGGCTGTATGGCCATGTTCCAGAAAAATGGCCATACAGCCCAGAAAACTCACAGCAACCCAGTGATTCCAGCCATGCAATCCTTTGAAAACACATAAAATAAATCATGCCTGTGCGCAAAGGATTTCTCCCCCTCTGTGGTTTGTTACAGGCCAGGTTTGCTTGCTGCAAGTGAGAATTTGGCATGCAATGGAATTCTAGCCAAACTCCTTTGCAAACAAATAGTCAATCCTGGCACTTTGGGCAAATCAAGATTTTTCTTGTCTGCAGGTATTTAATTGTTGTCGATATGTCTGTTTGTCCACTCAGACCTGTAGTTTTCCTACTCCTCTTTGTGTGATGTAGGCCACAACTGGTGTAAGCAACCAGCAATCCAGATCACCTGGTTTAGATTCTTTCTAAACCAGATTCTTCTAAACCAGGAATTAACCTCCTTTGTCAATTTCCATTTTTTCCTCCCTGCAAAGACCTATCCACAAATGTAATTCCAACCTGTGCTATAAAAAGAATTTATTTTGGGTGCCCTTTAAGATGGAGGTGGTGCTAAAAAGACAACCCATGTTGTTGTTGTTGTTGTTTACATAATGCATGCTTTGCCCTTTTAGCATACTGTTTTGCATTGCTGCTGTATTGGGTCCTTTTCCATATAAAACTTGTGTGCATTTTGCACCATACAGTGTACAGTATGGTGCAATTTTTTTCAAATGCACAGTGTATGTGTTATGAGTTTGGTTTGCATGTATAAAACTATGAGAACTCAGAAAATAGTGCAGTGTAATAACAGATTTGGAATATGTGCAATGATTACAGAACGTCTTTGGACTACGATTATGGATGGTGTGATTTATATCGAATACAATGTTTTTAGTGTTTTAAATATTTAATATATTAATTTAATTTCAACTTTACTGGAATTGTATGTATATAGGCATTGAATATATGTAATTCGCCTTGAGTCCCCTTCGGGGTAGAGAAAGGCAGTGTATAAATAGAGTAAATAAATAAGCAAACAATTGATTGATATTTTAAGAACGCATTTGCATGTATTTCTACATGAGAGAGAACCCTATTGAACTTCATAGGCTTTGCTTTCAGTTGCAATATGAGGATTGGGCCTGCTTTTATTGGGCTGTGATTTATCCCTCTCCCCAATATGTCGTTTTGATCATGTTTAGCAGTGCTCTCCATTTAATGCTCCCTGGAAACCACAAATGTCAATTCTGCGTAGAATCCATTATGGAAGGCAGTGTTTCCTTTGTATTTGCATTTTTTTGAAACCTCCGTGGATTTTGCTGCAGAGGAACAATTAATTTATTCTAGTTGTGTTTTTTTTAAGTGTCTGTACACCACCTGATTCTAGGTTTTTGTGTATGTGTGTGTCTAGTTTCTGTTTCAGCTTGGCGTTTGTTTACGAACAGAACAGCAGCCCGCTGCTTTTGTCTGTTGGTTACGTCATAGTAGCTGACGGAGGGCTTTCCAACATCTCTTCCTCGCCTAGGAAATGTTGTTTGGGTTCTGTCAATGCCAGCTGCTGCATGTGCCCTGGCATCGGTCGATGGCTACAGGAAGCTGTCCCGTGGCCCCTTCTCTGCCCACCCCAAATCTTTCTGCATTCCCAGGAGAAATAAGTCTTTATTGGGCCAATACAAAAGGCACAATATTCTCCGTCCGACGACATCATTTCTTTCTGTTTGGCCTAATAAAGGCATTGCTGCAGCATGATGGCCTTTGCAATCTGCCTCAACACAATATTTATAGAAGACTAGCTGTCCCCTGCCACGCGTTGCTGTGGCCCACATGGGGGTTCTGTGTGGGAGGTTTGGCCCAATTGTATTGTTGGTGGGGTTCAGAATGCTCTGTGATTGTAGGTGAACTATAAATCCCAGCAACTACAACTCCCAAATGTCAAGATTCTGTCTTCCCCAAACTCCACCAGTG